TAATTGACGAAATCCGCCCTGAGATGCTCAAGGCATTAGGCGAACAGGGCATGTGCTGGCTAACACGTGTCTGTCAAACTACGATGACTGCGGGAAAGACACCAGCAGACTGGAGAACGGGAGTTATTTTACCCGTATTCAAGAAGGGAGACTACAAGGAATGTTCCTATTATAAGGGCACTACGTTTTCGAGCCTTCCAAGTAGTCTACACAAAGATGCTTGAAAGGAAAAGGATATGTCGCGTAATAACTGACTCCAAGATGGTATTAGAGTAGTGTGACTTCCTGCCCGGTCGAAGGGTCTCTGGCCATATATTTGCCCAACTCCTGACTGCTGAGAAATTATGGGCGTTCGCCTGTCCGTTGCATAAGTGATTTGTAGAGACCTAGAGAAAGTTTATGACCGGATCGGTGGGCATGGCTGCGAGCATATAGGATCGATGGCCAGTTTCTACGAGCCATTGAATCAGTATATGATGATAAAAGGCCCTGCTTCAGAGTTTGTGGCGTTTAGTCAAGATATTTCGGCGTTGGCACTGGTTTTCGTCAAGGCTGCGTTCGTTTCCTGTTTGTTTCACCTTTCTTGCTTGTGTTGCACATGGGTAGGATAGTCATGCGTAGCCAGGGTGACGAGTGTATTACCATAGAAGATGTCGCGAGGAGAAGATCATTGTTTGCAGACGAATTTGTTCTGTTGTCATCTTCTGAAACTGATCTACAGCTCTTCCTGGAATGATTCCCAGGCTAGTCCCATTTCATAGGGAAAGTATTAGTCGTGCACGGATAAATTATGTAGGGCTCTGTGCGAGTTCTGACTGCGGGATTCATGATTCTGATGAGTGATTTCGATCTGTCAGAGCAGACCCATTACTTTTGACAGCGTCTGTTGCATACGATGGCGTACCGTTCAAGGACCTTGAGTCAGAGGCAACAAGAGAATTAAACAATAACCATAGCCTCTTCGGATACGATGACGAAATCTTCAGATAACTTTGCATGACGTTTAAACAATAATGACGGTAGTGACGGTCAACAAATCATTAAAGAGAGTGATAACTTTAAAAAAGGGTCTTACTCTATGCTGCCACTGAATGCTGCAACCTGAAAACTAGTTTATCGGCCACCTGTAAGTCAGAAGCCGTCTTCTCGACGGAAGCGTGAAATTCAAATGGCTTTCAGCGAAAAGAAGGTTGCATTCAAAGGGTATCTTGGAAGCAAAGAACCTTCAACTCGAATGCGTTACGAAGAAGCGCACAGGGTAGCAGCTAAACAGTGACTAAAGTGAAAGCTGATTCATAGGTAAGGTTTTATGAGGTGCTAAAGTCGAATTTACAGACCGAAAACAAGGTATTGTAGCAAGTCATCCGCTGCTTCTAAAATGGAAAGGAGGATAGTCTGCGAGTTCTGAAGAAGTCGTCCGGATACCTTTTTACTATGAAAACGATATACCTCAGCGATCACGAGAATACTTTGAGGAGCTGCTTAACTCTGAACAACTGCAGAAAGACTAGTCCGAAGAGTAACAGTCAACGGATATTAATCTGTCAGTAGACGCGGAGTCACATATGCTATGAAAAGCTGGCAAGACTGCTGGAACCGACTAAATTTACCCTAAAATTCTTAAGGCTTTGGACGAATAAAGAACATTACAGCTAACAGGTGTCTGTATAATTGCTTCGATTGCAGGATGGATAGCGGTGAATTGGAGAATTAGAGTGGTAGCACCGCTGTTCCAAATGGGTCCCCATTGAAACTGCTCCAATTATCGCGGTAACATTTTATTGTTACTCCCGAGAAAGGTCCACACGAAAGTGTTGGAAAGGAAGTGCCGTGAAGTAACTGAGTCTACGATCGAAGAAGAGCAGTGTGAATTCACATACCTCAAGCACTTCTGACTAGATCTCGCCAGACTGTTAACTCAATCTTAGTCGTCTGATTTGCATATGCTCTGATGGCCTTGAGAAACGTTCGACAGGACCCGGTATGACAATATATGGACGTGTCTGGAAGCAATGGAATGGATGACCGGTTGCTACAAACCATTCAGTCACAATAGGTTGTTTGTAAGTGCTGCGTCAGAGAGAATGGCGTTAAGTCGATACCTTTGGCACTGATCTCCGATATGGCATGACTTTATCCCCTGCCTTGTTTGTGTTGATCATTGATAGGATAGTTCGGCGTGGCTAGGCCGACACCTATATTAGTGTAGGAGATGTGCAGGTGACAAAGTTGCAGTTTGCAGACGACCATATTTTGTTGACCTCGTCTGAAACTGACCTACTGTTCTTTATGGAAGAGTTGGCAACCGAGTGCGAGATTGCCAGCATGAATTTTCCCGTGTCTAAAACAAATCTCCTAGTGCTTTCTGACTTTCTTGCCCTTTCAACGTTCAGCCAAATGGAGAAGCAGGAGAGGAATTTAGAAAACTCGCAAGTTTCGGTATCGTGGTTATGTGTAGCAGAAAATGGAAGGAGTAGACCCACCAGCTAGCAGGAATGTCAGCAGCGTGAACTGACCCGAACCGTTGCGACCTGAACTGACCTGAACTTGAAAACTCAGCTCTCTCTTCAAGTCTATCTTAATCCCCATGCTCATTTATGGTCAAGAATCGCAGGCCATGATTGACAAACTTCGATCACATGCAGAAAGGGGTGAAATTGTCTTTCGCTAGACTCCCACGTCTCGAAATGGTTCAGAGTTCAGATATCCGAGAGAGCCGGGTCTTCAGCCAAGCTTTAGAAGTAGCAGCCGTGGGATGGCGGTTCTGGCACGTGTTGCGAATTTTTTAAAATTGAAAGGCGAAACAGCCGCCTCTTGGTTTACCGATCAGCCAAAGGCCCCCAGGATCGGCCAACAAAAGCTAGGAAAGGTGTCTCGAAGGACCCTGCTTTAAGCCCAGGTTATTTTTTGCCAAACTGAGACGCTGACACCGGTTCCGGAACGTCTGAGACACTCTGTGACTTGTGTGCCTCCACGACCTGGGACAACAGGCAGTGATCAAATCTGGTTTACTGCTTTCTTCGATTTTTATTTAACTTATTTGTTTCGTTTCAACGATATTTAAATGGGCATT